AAGGGGGGGGGGGGGCAAATGAGAAGAAGTTAACATGATACCACGAAGAGTAAAGCGCGAAAAACCCACTATATGTTGTTGATTTTTCAGCAAAAAATTGACAAATTCCACGTGATTCTATGTTTGTATGAAAGAGGACTCGGAGGACTGTGGCACACTTGTCATCGATTAGATCAAATGCTGATCAATAAATTAGGTAGAGTCACAAAAATGGAATATTGGATACAATCAGGCATATTCCCTCCCCNCCCACCCCCGCCTCCCCGTGAAGTCGCGATTGCCTCATAAATTGGCCATCTACTACCACTACTGACGTGTAGTGAAATAGTTAAGTAAGTACTGAGATCAGTTTATCATTAATTGTCACCAACAGACATGAGGTAATACTTTTATATAAGACAGCTGGTCCTAATACCGAGTAAAGGAGTATGACTATCAAATCCTCAAAGCAAACACTGTGGAAATAAGGATTCTGGACCGGGGATAACAGCATACAAAACGAATTTAAAACTTTTTTTTCTAATAACCAAGTTTGACACGAGCATACGGCCAACTGAATATGCCAGTGTCATCGTTAGGCTTATTTCCAAATTCAGATCCTGTTAAGATTAAAACTGTAGAACAAAGCCGAAATAATGCATATATATATATTACATTAGTCCTCTATTGTGTGACTAAGATCAGTCACTTTTTTACCAAATAGCCTAGATAAGGTTAACGATTAAGCTCGTCTTCAATACCAGTTTAGACGTGGTGAATGAGAATGGAGGGGCTAATTACATAGATTGACAAGGTAAAGGCCATAACCTAGCTAAGCATGAGGACACACTGCTACTGCGAGGACACATAGTAGTAGCAAAATTAGCAGTGTGACACGCGTGCACAAGATGTGTGTATGTGTGTGTGAATAAATTAGGTAGGGTCGGTTAGGGAAAACCAATCAGCTGCGGCGAAATCACAAGCAGCATTAAGTCCCCCACACACACACATCCCATACACTCCCCCCCCCCCATGTGTCTACTCTCCATCACCACCCTTTTTACTCCCTAATTCGGCTGAGGAATGATGAATAACAGAGTTGGGAACACGTTTCCTCCCTCCTTCTCACGATATGAAAGGAACAGCACTGCTTGAGAGGATCAGCGAAAAGTCACCATATATGAGCACTCACTCGTAGAGTTAAATGGACACGTCTTTAGAAGAAAAAAATATACAAGGAGGTGACTGACATGTTACACTATCAAGCGAAGGCTCAAGTCTATAACGTCAGGTAATGGAGATTAAAGGGGAGTTGAGACATGCGTAAGCTCAAGGGGGCATAAAATCCACGCATAAAGCACTCCCCACGTCTGCCTTCCTGCCTCTTCAGTCCTCTCTTGGCTGGATGAGAGATCGAGTTAGGGACTCACTCGCTCCAGAGGATAATAAAACATGCACTTCGCTTATTTGGGGGAGGGAGTGGGGGTGGGGGGGAGGATGGGAAAGCCGTAGGATAAGCACGCGTAAGTATCTATTTAAGCAGACGTGGCATTAAGCAAAGTGAATAGACGCAGACAGAAGGCTGGTTGGAATGTTCGAAGCGTTGTCTTGAAAAGGCTAATTGCTCAGTCTTAGGTTGAAGATGAATAAAGAACGGTGAATGAGAGTTAGAAGCTAAAAACACATAAATTATTTTTGGAGAAAAAGAGGAAGCAATTGACTAAATACACGTATCTCAATTAAAAATTCACCTCAGAAGCTCCAGTAGTGCAAGTAAACGGAAATTATCGAACTTTAATGCCCGAGTCATTGTTTGCTAAATGCACCCAACCGCACTCACGCGTGTCCCACCAGTAGACTGATGCCGCCGACGTGATGAGTTTTGGTGGTGCATCAGACAAAGGCTATAGACACGTATTGAACATGTCTCAAATGGTAAAAGCGCGTCTTCTGTACCAATGGGGCTTATTTTGAAAGAGGACGCATGCAGGAGGTGTATATGACGTCTTCTTGGAAGTATTTACCCATTTACTCCAACCTCCCCCCACCAACTCTCCAAATACTTTGACTAATGATGAGCGCAGTAAGTTAGTGAATTGATAAATGAGGCCTTAAAACAAAGCCTCACTCGGCTGACCACACAGAAGAAGCTCAGAAACCATTAAGAGAATATATAGACAAATAACAATAGACTGACCAGCAAATTCGACTGCTTAACAGTTCCACTCTATTTAAACAAGATAAGAGTAAAGAACGGTGAGTTCATTAAAATTTAAAAAACAACTCGTAGCGTACACACTCTCGTAAGGAGCTTCATAAATGCAGCTCAAATCTGTAATTAGTGAAAGTGAATAGGCGTAGACATAATAGCAGACTGACTAAGCGATATTTAGGGGAGACGTAAGATTGCCTGTCTATTTCACTGATTCGGCTAGAAGTGGGTAGAGGATGAATAACCGAATGGCTTTCTGATATAGTAAGTGAGCTATTCCTAAAATACCTACCAATGAAGATAGGCTCATAGCAGTAAAGCCAAGAAGCGTAAGCCAGTAAAGTGAATGGACAAAGACAGACGTGTGTGGGCTAGGCTAGACTTGTGTGGTTGTCCAGACCGTGGAAGTACATTTCGCTGAAAATGCCACGAAAAACAAAGACTGATGGACTAAACTCAACTCCACTAGAATGCATGAGTTAGAAATAGCACATCAATAAAATCATAGACAAAATGAGTGAAGAAGTGGGATGTTAAGGAGGCTTACGATGAGAAGACTGTATCATTTAAACAAATCAGATGAATGAAGCTATTAAGTCCTTCGTACCGGTTTTGAATGCTTCAAGTGCTGCTGAATGGACCGTCAGTTTTCAGAATGTCATTTACTACTATTAGCATATAAAGAAAGTAAACAAAGTAACTTCAACAAATACTCTCATCTGAATAGTGTAATGAAACAGATCGAACTTTATACATCATATATCGCGGTTCTTGCCTCTACCCAATTATAGATCATCTAGTGTTCCCCCCCCCCCCCCATGGGAGACCCTTTTTTCACTCTTATTGGTCATTTCAATCAATCGTTACCATAATTGACTTCGAATAATTCTAATAACATACCAAACCATTTAGAGAAGCGATTCCTGATTCTCATCTTTGACGAAAAAAAAATGTATCACTGAGACATTCTAGTAAGAAATTCGAGCTTAGCTACCAGTGTCGTTAGCATCTCTACTCGTTGGCCATTTCTGCTATCTTCATCACCATCTTATTGAGAAAATTATCTAATATCGACAGTAATAAGGCCACCAATCATTACTGCTTACAGATGTAAAAGTCATTGCATCTAAGTAGGACAAGGGGCAGTAAAATACTATTCGTGATTACGAATACAAAGTCACTGGTTGAATATTTTCGACACAAAGGAAACATAAAGCAAGAATCGAACTAAGACGCACAGAAAGGAGAGAGGGTGGGGGCGGTAATTTCGCTTGATATAAGAGTGTAAAAGTATACACCCACATGAGCGCGCACGCTGAAAACACAGAATGAGGTATGCATAAAACACAAATTGTGATTTAAAAGATGAGCTAAATTTAGTTGCATTTCATTTGGATGCGATTTTCACAAAAAACTCAGTGTAAATATCTAATTAGGGGGGGGGGGGGGGGGGGGGGGTGTNCGGGTTGTATTCTGAATTTTCGGATCAGCAACTCATTGCAGATATAAATTAATTCATCAATTGCAAATAGTGATGTGTGTGGATGTGTGGGGAATATGTTGAAAAGAATCGTGCGCAAGCACTCTGAGATCCCTTTGCACAGAAGTGAATGTGAATAGCCACGTGATCCGGGGGGGGGGGGAATTGGGGGGGGAAGAAAAATGAAGTAGCTGGAAAGTGCAAGTGGATTTGAAAACAGCCGAGCGTTCAAAGGTTAAGGCTTTCGACTACAGTACGAGAGAGAATTAAAGTCAAGAAGCGGACGAACAAAACGATTGAAGAAAAACCCTATAGCGATTGTTGTCTAGTGGCTGTGAAGGTTCGCGCCAGCGTTTAGGACTAAGAAAGAGAAGACGCGAAGAGAGAAATCCGTGGCAGCAACACAATGATCGCCATACATGGGCTCGTAATACATAGGTGCAAATACAATCACCGAAACCTCAAATCCCCTCAAAAGAAGGAATAGAAGAATGTGAATTTCCAAGACATCGAGAGCCTAAGAATGACTGTCACAAAACCTCTTCATTAAGCAGAACTCGATAGGATGTTTTAACGACTTCAATGTACAGGCGCTTGAATTATTCCTGCCATCAAAAACAAGAGTTCTCGATTTTTGCAAAATATAATGAACCACCATTTTTACATTGTGATGATATGTAGAAAACGAAATTCAGCATTTAATGGGAGAATAACTCTTACGTTTTCAGGGGAGCGTACAAGACAGCACTGGACGAAATCTCGGAAGTTAGTGGAGTAGCGTTCGGGGAGTTTAGGTGGAGGATTGTGAGGAATGTCGAGGAGAACACGCATAGGATGCACATCCGAATGTGGCGGCGCACCCTCGGCCAACTCGATCGCTGTTATTCCCAGCGACCAAATGTCTGCCTGCAATATAATAAGGCGAAACAGGATTGCGTTAAGTCGATTCAATTTACTTTAGACTCTCATTACTATGCTTGTGGGGTGGTTATAAGGCACAACTTCGAATTTTGATCTATTTGATTGAACACTTTGTTGACATCAAAGCAAACGACAAAGTAGAAGTTCTCAAGACTTGTCAAGACTAGATTGATCAACAATGAATTTTAACTTAAAAAAACAATATGAAGTTGGTATTATAAGTGGCATTATATTGCTCGCTTTGAAATCCATCAACATACATAGGTAACGAATAAATATTAAAGAAACTGGGGTGTGCAATAGGCCTACCTCTACGTGCAACAACCTGGGCAACGTTTACTCTCATACGGCAGTTGACTTTAAACTGCCATGACCCGACTTTATGTCATATTCGACTACAGTACTCACTTTTCTTTTCCTCTACTTTTGTGTCTGTCTGTCTCTTTACATCTGTGAATCACTCCTTTGTTCCTCCTATCGACTTTTTTACTACGGCTGTTCCTCCCCTCAGTGAATTACGAAGTCTACTAAAGGACTAATGATAACTATCATCAAGCCTGTCATTGGATTTAAATAAATATTAAATAAGCTCAAATTTGTAACACTTGAAGCGAAGAACTGGTACCAGAGTTCATGACCACATATCTATTAATGGTTGGTTCAAGTCTGTTTGAAAGGAAAGTTTTGAGTATTACTAACAACAAGCAACTTTGAATTCAAATAACTTGGATATAGGAGTAATTTTACTTAAGACCAATATTCAACGTTTTTATGTAGATGTGAGAACGAGAATTAAAAACATTTCAAGAATATTACGAAAGATACCACTGTTTAGAGAGAGAGAGAGATAACAGTAGTACTATCTTTAAATGAGTTAGTGTTGGAGGCATGAAGATCAACTTGTAGTTTTGCCAACTTAGAAATCATAGGAGCCAAATCCTCAGTGGCTCAGAATAAAAACCACATTGAACAAAAGAGGGCTGGTAGAAAGACATTTCTCGGCCAAAAATGGACGGTTTAGAAATGTGTAATTAAGAGTAAATTATCATCATCATCCATTTAACAGCTTTCAAGGACCTCGGGGAGGTTCAATTTCGGCTCCCATCGAAGAAGAAGGCGAGAAAAGGTAGGAAATTCCTAGGCATGGCTATTGGCTTGCGAATAATCAGATTTTGAAGCTTTTGGATTTAAATAGAGCACAGATTGCCACAACATTACTGCTGGAATTCCATAGACGTGGAGTCACTTATAGTGAGAGGGAAGAAGACATGCAAATCAAATGTCTTCTATTTTAATTTGCAAAAATACGCCTCTTCAAACATCGACAGGCTAACAGGCTCAAATTGACTGCTTGAGTAACCAGTATTTTAGCATCCACGGGTAAGAGAATTTGATGAAATTTATTCCGCCCCCACCCTATCATATCGATTTATCTAATCCCCAAAAATAAAATAAAAAGACTTACAAATGTCTTATATGAAAGGCTTATCCACTGCAGTTTCTTACATGCTTCTGTTTCCTCTAAAAGCATCAATAATGCTAATAACCTTTAAAACATTTAAACTCACCTGACCTGGTCTGTGTGTCTGTTTAATAAAAAGTATGGAACTCGTGTCTCCAAGATCTAATGATATTTAAGAAAGTCTTAAGCCACTGGTATATATATGACAAAAGATACTAGTAAATGCTAAAATGAAAGAATTGCGTCGCATGGCCAAAACTCAGCTTTAATGAATCTCCAGCATAAGCGGAACTTTCAGCCAAGAGTTTCCTACCTTTGGGGGAAAGAAAAGGAATTTCAGATTGCTGATTGCGGCACCTGAGCTATCAATGTCCGGGAGTTGATGATAAAGTGCCTTAGAGACACGCCAATTTTTGCTATGATTGACCTCACCATGTTCTTAAATGCGTTCTCGTGTCTGCAATATCCTAAGATTATTATTGGTCAATTGATTGAATCGTAAAACTGTTAGGCTTGGTCGCAGAACGGAGTAATAAAATTGAGAAATCTGTCACTCCACTTCAGTATACCCTTCCTTCTGATGGCCAGTTAAGACTGACTGGCCAGGATGCCATTTCCAAACAGCATAAATTAGAAGAAAAAAATTCAAAAATAATGTCCAATAAAAAGAGGGAGATACAAGAGTTGGGAATCATGAGTGTTCAATCAGTCCAAGTTCTATAAGCATTCGGCTGGACAGCAAAAGCATCCATTTAATGGCGAATGTAACTTGAGACCAAACGAAGGGTGTGGGTACAACCAGTAATTCAATTGGACTGATATTAAAGCTAATTGGACTAGTGGATCGAACAAGCAGAAAAACTAGAAACTAGCAGCAAAGATGAGTGGAGAAAGTGAATCTCGAAGCTATCAAGACAAAGAATTTGTCATTTTTACGGCAAATTATTAACGGCAATGTTAAGTGGATCACTTATGACAATGTTAGGACGAGAAATTCGGTTTATTTCAAAATGAGACACCCACGCAATAAGTGAGATAAACTTGCATTTATCCATTACGAACTGTTTAAACTACTGAAACAGGTAAAGGCAAACTTCACTCTTGGTCAACAATTGGAAAGACCAAATCAGAAGCGAAAAGATAAACTTCCAAGTTTATTGGAAAGAAAAAAAAACGAGGGAGTTCTTTAACATCCCAATCCCACACCCACTCAACAAAGCACGAATGATCCTCTTAAAATTCAGCAATTAAATCGGGAGGTTCACCACATCCGCCATATTTGCCAGACAACGAATCACCATCACCACCCCCTATCACCTGGGAGAATGGTGATCTAAGGGGAAAACGATTTTACTAATAATGTCAGAGATTATACCATCTCGATGTCTTAACGTTATACCTACGCTAAGTCGGCCCTATTTGTAAATGCTGATAACAACCTATTGCACAATTTATAACCACTTTATAGCGTGTTGCTGTCCTAAGTAATGGCTGGACCATTCGTTTGAGCATTACCGAGCATAACTTGTTTCAGAGGGAGAATTTATAGCATACAAGAGCGAATAGTAGGATGAGGAACAAGAACAAAGGAGAGTGGCTACTTGACTAAACATAGTTGGCATTCATCAAAGAAACAAGGAAGCGTTAAATATTTCTTCAAAGCGCGTGAAAGAAGGCTACTAGAATTTCAGTCCGAGAGTAGTCCAAATGATTAGCATCAAACGGACGAAATTTTAACCAAAAGAACCACTATGCCCCCTCCCCAAAAAAACTTACACAATGCGAAGTACGCGAAATGAATACTGTCTTTGCTGGCAATACTCCTATTAATTAGAAGAAAGAGAACACTAGTGATAGAGTTCAGATCTGTTGAACAATAAACCAAGTGGAGGACTAGGGACTATTGATTTCCCTGCGCAAAATGGCAAATATAGACCACAGAAGAATCCAAATAACTAAGGGAATTGAAATGTGCTTGAGGATACGTTGACACCTAAAATCTAATCTTTGTTTACACGAGAAGAGAGATGTAAGAAAAAAATCCAGCCCGTGTTAAAAACTAATAGGACGCAAGCATTTCGAAAAATTCAATAAGATCTAATAGAAAAGTCGCTACATCTTTACATCTACAAGTTGAAGATATGCTAAATTTAAGACGATGTGAGCCTTTAAGTATCCAAAGCAAGATATGAAACAACACCAGTCATAATTAGAGTTACCTTTACAACCGGACTGAGATCTTAATAACTAACAGGAAGAGAAGGAACGACAATTTGAGGTGGGGGGAGTTGCAAGAACTGGTTATACGCCTAAATTGCGTGTGCGGGTGAAAATGTGGTTTGAGGATAAATAATGAAGACTTGAAAGAGTTTCCTGATAGACTGCTTTGAGAGGCTGTTTAGGCTGACCAGACATGAGTCATGATGTGACCTCTAAATGTACATTGACCAAAGCGCCACTGGTGAATAGAATGAAATTGACAAAATTCAAATTGAGACATGGTCGCTATTATCTATGCATGGGAACGCGTCTGGCGAAACGCATAAAATTCCCTTTTAATGCTAGACTGCACAAATTCAGTCAAATTTTTTTCAATTCACCATGTTGAACACTAATCTGACCAATTACATTACCTGTAGTGCTATTTTATGACGAAAAAATGATAATAGAGGAATAATGATGAATTAATTGAGGAATAATACGAACCTTGTAATCATAAGAGGAGACTTTTATAACTTCCGGAGCCATCCAAAAGGGTGTTCCAACAAACGTCACCCGTTTTTTCGTAGTCTTTGTCAACTGTCCAGCCACTCCGAAATCCGCAAGTTTCACCTCACCTTTATCTGATAGGAGGATATTTGCAGCTATAACGAAAGAGAAACAAAGATAGTGTGAATATGATCCTATTTATAACAAGCATTTACAGAGACTAGAGTGGGCGGGGGGAGGGATAGAATGAACAAATCCAATCACTTGCAAACACTCGAACACAATCGTCTTGTAATGGTAATAAAAACACGCGCTGAAACTTGGTAGCCCCCCTTTTCACATTTTCCCAGAGGTGACAATGGTTTTCATGAAGTGCATCTCCCCCTCCTCACACATTCATCTAGAAATCTTATTCAAATGTGGAGTCGCAGAAGCAAAACACATGGAGATTCCCAGCAGTGGATGTGGACCACCATCACCACTAGAATTTAGATCTCATTAAAATGGATTGAAGTAAAGTTTGAACACACACACACAACTAAACAAGCATGAAAGTGTGGATCGATTGCATTCATAATTATATGCATACAGCAACAATAACCAGCACCATAAGCCCCTCCACTCCCCACAAGCCATTTCTCTATATGAATGGCTGGCTAAGTGTGTGCCTCAACGTTTGTGCGCGGTTGTGCAGAGTTTTGTCTGTGCATCTACAGAAATGTGGCACATGCATACTAGCCGACAACTTTGTCTGACTTTCTTGAAAGAGCAAAATAGCAAATAAGCTAGATCTAGCAAGTAAACTTAGCATATAAGTGCTAAGTCCGGCATACATTTTGGAAAAATCCCCTCCCCCCTCCCCCCGGTTTTGGATGATTATACTGCTCGCTTAATATGGATCAAACACTGGCTCATTTGAATGAGATCAAGAGGAGGCTCTGACGAGTGCTTTAACTGAACTTATCTCCAGTTTATGTCCTTAAAAGAAAACTGAATCACGGAATTGAAACAACTGCCTAACGAATACTGAATGTCACGGACCGGCAATCAGCCCAGAAACCCAATAAGAAAATCTTGAAAACTCAGCATGGATATTACAAAGTTCATTATACTCCTTTTGGGAACTATGACGAATCAAGTCCTCCTATTGTGTAGTCCTATGCAACTTCAAAAAATGATGTTTCATTGCCATTGAGTAATATAAGGACTGCGACAGTGAACACATTCGGACAAACGGGCATAAGGGTTACTTACAGTATTAGGCCATGCTTATCGGTCTCACTGGAGCACACATGGAAGATACTATGACTTAGAAACGTGCCGTCAAGTTACTACGACCTCATTGGACGCAGTAGCAAGAGTGGAATGACTCAAGTCACCTCGAAAGAACCAAATTTATAATAGCTTCGGCATAACCACCACGATATCAGCTTAATTAGAGAGGTTACGAAAAGCAGCGAAATCACAAAACAGTAGCTTTTAACACAGGTAGAGATGAGCATGATGCTCGCAATGTCGGCAGCTCAGTGTGGACAATAAAAATCAAGCAGACATTTCTAGATGAGAAATTGAGTAAGCATGCGAAAAACGTCTATTACAGAGGAGCATCAGCAACATTAAAGGACCAATTGTATTAAAAGTTCGGTTTTTACAAGCAAATGCATTCTATTAGCCCGTAATGACTTTCAAAAGGTCAAAATGAAAGTTCACAATAACGAATGAAAAGGTACATTTCAAGAAGGTATATATAAAGCATTCGTTCACACAATTAATTAGTAGGCGAGGTAGACTTATTTGGACCACTTCATGTGAGTTGGTTTTTATAGATTATATCCAGATTTAAGGGGTGCGCAATAGACTTACCTCCACGTGGTGCACCCTGGGCAACATATACTCATAGGGCAAAAGTCTATAAACCGGCAGTTGACTTCAAACGACCATCACCTGTCTGTATGTCACATTCCACCACTTCCACAGTACTCACCTTACATTACCATTTTTTCTACCTTTGTATCTGTCTGTCTCTTACAACTGTGAATCACTCTTCTGTTCCACCTTTCGACTTTTTCTCATTTTAATGGTCCTCCCCTCTGTAAAGCTCGAAGTCAGTTAAAGAGCTAATTATAACTATCAAAATGCCTGCCATTTGAAATAAATAAATAACCAGATTTACTTTTTCAATTAAACATGATTTTTTCGATTAAAAAATTTGAACTGCAATACTTTTCGGTACACCTGAGATTTGGAATCCAAACTGAACAAGCATTTTCTCAACTTGTGTAAGGAAGAAACTAGAGAAAGACTATGAGCATAGTTTGGTCAAAATCATCTACGACTACGAACACAAAAGAATTGCTGATACACTAACTTTGAGAGGCCTTTAAAAATGAAATCGGTAAAAAAATTCTAGAAGAATTCATTATTCTTATTGCTAGACATCAATCGCAAGTGTGCTTTAAAAAGATAGTATATTAATGTGAAATCTCAAAGTTACCGACTTTGCAAATCGATCAGTAAAAAGTGACAAAATTTCAAGTCCGATAGACTATTGCTGTGAGAAGTTATGCAGGGTTAAAATACAAACAAAATTTACCTGGATCACACCAACCAATGACAGCTAGTTTTTCGACCCTGAACAATTTCGACGTATGCTTTCTTCAGCATTTATATGAATTCAATTCGTAGCACTTGAAAGTAAACATTTGCCTTGGATTAAAAATTGGTCCCTAACTGATTACTGATCAAGAACCTGAACAGCTTTTAATGGAAAAGAGGGGGAGGGGGGGTGGTCTTAATCAAAACTATGTAGAGGTCCAGTTTTTAAAACAAAATTCTCTCATTTTAATCTTCCTCTCCTCAAACCGATTTTCATATTTTCGACACGAAGTGCGGGTCAAATGGACTTCACACGCTCCCACTGGCTCACGATGCAAATAACTTACACTTGCAAATCAAGGCTGTTTACTGGAAGAAAAAGTAAAATAGGATTCCAGCAAATAGTTCTTCAAAGCGTGTTGATCATCAAGTAAATCACGACACAGCTCTTTCCTAACTTATCTGCCCTTATGTGTGTGTATGAATTTCAAGTTTATTAATTGTTAGCAGACACAATTCAACTCCACCCACCCCAGAGAAAGCATAATTTAATTCACATTTACTACCTCCTCCAACAGAATATGCGCACACATTCCTTTCTGAGTCAGGCTTTCTGTGGAGCAATTTTCACACACATACACACAATGTGAAAAATTATAAACATGACGATACAATAACAACAGCAGCATATATTTAAAGATTTGGCAGCAACATGCACTAATATACTCCCGTAAGCTCGTACGCCTAAAGCATGCTTCTCATAGTGTGAGAACATAGCTAAAAGGGTATTAACGTAGAATGTGGAGAAGTGCTATACTAAGAATCATGCAGCAAAGACGAAGATGCAAAGGCATATAAAAGAACTCATACTTAGGAAGACAAAGCACAACCTTCCTGAAAGGCTGTATGACGTGTCAGTGCAGGAAATGGTTTACCGTAAATTCAAGGTCGCACCCAAATGACAGACAACCCACCAACCAAAAAAACTAAGCACAAACATCGTAATATTTTTGTCCATGATAATAAACCCAATGCAGAATAAAGAAACGAACCTTTGATATCTCGATGTAGTTTTCCCTCACTATGCAGGTAGGATAGACCCATTAGCACTTCGTGGAGAATCGTAGCAATGTAGGGTTCATCAATTTTAACTGCTTTACGAATTTCCAGGGCCGACCCGCCACCCATAAACTCCATAATGATCCACAGTTTTGTGCCTTTAAGGTAGGATCCATAGTACTTTGTGATGTAAGGACTGTCGCATTGGGAAAGGATATTGATCTCTTGTTGAATATCTTCCAGCTCATCTAAAGCCTCTTCTAAGTCGATACGCTTGATGGCAACTGGACGACGAGTTCTCTTGTCCACACCCTTGAAAACTTCACCGAAGGCACCGCGCCCGATCCTCTCGTTAACATCATACAACGTATCTGGATCTAGCTGCTAAAATGCAAAGTTACACGAAAAAATAGAAAAAAAGGTAGACTAAGGATTTAAATAGCAGAATAACTTTAATCATGAGGGAAGTGGGGGTAGGATGAACACGCGGTGACATAATGAAATGTCGGAAAGAGAAAATAAAATATAAATAGATAAGGATGATTAATTAAAATTGTTGAATTTGGCAGTAGCAGGAAAAGGTATGGAGTGTCATAATTGTAGTAGAAATGAACAATCAGATCTTGCATAGGTAGAAATATCTAAATCGGTCTAAGACTGGCTAACTGGATATTAATTTCACAACGACTCGAGATAGATCAAAAGAAACATAAAATTCTATGTTATATGGAAAAATAATGGGAACAATTGTTAAATAAGTGATTAAGTAGCGTGAAATTTGAAAACATCTTAAAAAATATAGTAACTAAATACAGAATTAGTGATCCTTTAGAAATAACTTAAGACAAATAAAAAACGTGAGAAAAGTATACTGAAAGAGGGAAGAAATGGAGTTTTTTCGAGACGTTATTGAAATAGAAAAATTAAGTCAAGGGAGAATGTTCAGGATTCATACATGGAATGATAGATGAAAATAACATAATGTCTAAAGCTCAACACGAGATACCGTAAAGAGAATAAGTGAGAAAGTTTAAAAAAATAGTCATCAGTTCAATGGAAATATAAGAGAATGAAAAATGAAAGAGTGAAATGTCGTGGACGACGTTTAAGCACAAAAAAATGCAGATACATTATAGAAAATTGAAAAATTCTAAATAAAAGACAATCGAGATATCAAAAATTGTGCTACACGAAATCAAAGATATAAAATTTTCTGGCAGATTATCAATAAGGTTGCGAAATTAAAATTTTTAATAGAATGAAAATTTCAATATAGGTGATCATATCAAATATCATAATTTCAGACGGTTTCAAAATGCTTACAGGATTTGTAGTGATCATCTCCACATATGAATTTAGAAACACCCTAGCCAATAAATGACTTATTAGTTCAAAGTAGAAGTCAAAACGCGCATAATTATAGCAAAATATCAAAACCAAAAGTTTTATACATAATTTTTAATATGTTATCTTAAAAATAATGCGGTATGACATTTTATTTAAGCCAACTAATTTGTATAAAACCTTATAAATTGTTTTTTAATGATTTGACGTTTGTCAAAACACGGATGTATATATTTATACCAACTTTTATGTCAATAGAATGCATTTGTTTACTTGTGTCATTTAGTTAAAACATGTTGCAAATAGCATTATTTTTAATTTATGTACAGATTGCCTTTATATTATAAATTTACCTTTTTAATCGGAGAAACTATTAAAAATAATCATTAAAATTTTGAATATTGAATGTTGGCTGCCTTTTGTTACAGACTTTCACATACTTTTTCATGATACACTAATATTATAATAAAATCGACCTTGATCTGACAAAACAACTCTGCCGGTTACTTTGTGTGTCTATTTATGGCCTTTAAATACTCTACGGCATTAGTTATTCAGCCTTCCCTTGAAGCATTTGGGAATGATTACGAAAGGGCAAAGGCCGAGCACGATGAATTTGTTGACGCTCTACGTCAGTTGGAAGTGAACATTCTTGAATATGGTCCAGATTCCCGTCGACCAAATGCCCACAAAGTTGGAGATATTGCAGTGATAATTAATGGAACAGCCTTAATGTGTCGCCCCTATGGATATGATAGACAAAGTGAAGTTAGTGTTGTTCGGCAAACCTTAAAGAAGGAAATGGGTTTGACAATTGCGGAGCTGAATAATGACCAAGCACAGCTTGAAGGCAGTGATGTTCTTTTCACCGGTAAGTATTTAAACGCTTTTGTGATATGTTGGTAACTTTTCATCATTTTATCAATTATAGGTCAAGAAATTATCGTCGGAATTTCTTCACATACAAACGAGGCGGGAGCTCAGTCTGTAGCTCGTGCATTTCCAGAATATCCAACAACGATTGTTGCAGTTCCTCCTCCTTTAACCTGTTTAAAAGATGCCGTTTGCATGGCTGGAACCAATCTTATGGCTATTGCTAATTCAGATGCCGCTCGAAAAGTATTTAAAGTAAGTTTTACTTGCCTTCTTTTTTTGCACAAAGCATAGTTTTGACAATCATCATTCTGTTTTTAGTCAATTGGTGAAGTAGCATCAAGTAGATACAAAGTGCTCCATCTCGCAGAACCGATCGCTGTTGGCGTTCTTTACGTTAATGGCTGTTTAATGCATTACGACCCTTCAATGATTCCAGAAACCTGCCAGGTAAGCCACTTAATGCTCACTGACGTTAGCACACTCTCTTCGCTGTTGTTTCCTATTTTAAATTTCTCTTTACAGCTCTTCGAAAATAAGATTGATTATCCTCGTTACACTCTGGATTTACCACATCTACAATCTCATGGAGCCCCTCTATTCAAGCTAGCCCTTCTTTCTGGTCGAGTTCGTAATCAGCGATTTATCGCCTCGACTATGCCCTAACTGGACGAATTCTCCTTCTCATCTTCCTTATAGGTGCTTGTCTTTTCTATTACTTGCGTGTTTTGACGGAAGAAAAGCGTACACAAAATTTTCTTGTTTCTCAATATCTATCGATACATTTTCACCTTCATGATAAGTTGTCTATTTTAAACTTTTTTCTCTTCAAATTTTGTGTAAATCGAGATGCCTATTAAATATTGTGCTTTTTCGTTCTCCTTGTGTGTGCTTTTTTTGCAAAGAATGTTTGTGTGAATTTGTTTCTGCCAACTGAATGTGCAGAAAGAGAGAGAGAGCCTGGAGGTGTGCTACTGCAAACTCTCCCACACTCGCTTTGTGAAATGAGCGAGAAATGTAGCTCGTTTTCAATGCGTTAGCGGACTGGTTGTGGCTTCTGGGACAACGTGAGTGTTCCTATAGTGTTTCTCAGTAGTATAAATTATCACTTGAACTTTTTACCCAATCAACTTACAGTTGATAAGTTGTGGGCCAACAGCAAAATTTGTGTTTTCATTCTGCAATCATTTGTAATTTTACTTTCAATCGCATAAAACGAGCTGAAATTGAGAATACGTGTGACTCATTTGAGGGTGAAATTTTAATAATGTGTGTCAAGTTTCGAGTTTACTTAAGGCTATCTGGTTTCCCCACAGTTATTCAGTTTCAAGAAGGGAGAGTGCATGATTAAAAAAAATAAAGGACTAACGAGGGGTTTCTGTCCATCGCAGGTTACAATCGCTTAGCTAAAATCGGATGGCCGGTTTAAATTGAAACATTTACTTCTATTCGGATTACCGGGGCGGTTATTTGGTTACAAAAAATGGTTTAGTGAATTTAAGTTTTCCGTTTAACTGCCCTGGGTGCAGTTCCCTTTAATGACTTACTACTTTCCATGTTTTTTAGACCAGATGTCTGTGAATGAAGCTAAGAACAATACAGGGACAAACCCCTTCTTATTCGAAACTCTAAGAAAAGTTCACTTCTGGCCAGACTACATAATAACTTATAACTTCATTGTCGGAGGGTGAAATACCGGAGTTCGGTTACACCTGCTGGTCGGATGAGCCTAGCAAAAGACTAAAAGGATTTCAATTGAAATGCAGCTCTCAATTATTATTTAAGTGGATAGTGGGGTACATAAATGTTGTAATAATCGACCGCCCGACAAATTGGAAGTACGCCCAGTTCTGCTACAACGTAAACCACACAAATAAACACTAGTATCCTCTGAGAAGGGTTTTTAAATTGCTCCCAAATTCTACTTTAGTAGAAGCGAAGGCAAAAAACGTGCAAAGCAAACATCACTCAATGCAAAAATGGTGAACTGTCACAAAGATTAGATGGCAACTTGATCTGCACTGAGTCATTTTGTAGCAATTATTGATTTTTGATTGGCTAACTGGTTTGCACATATGAATGCACTTGCTCATTACGCGATCATTAGCACGACGCACCTTTCAGAATATTCTCTCTCTCTCCCCCTATGAGATTCCTTTGATTAACCTTGGTAGTGTTGTACGCTCAATCTGTTCACGCATTTCCATATACCACCTCCATTAAAAATTGGTGCGTGAGACGGAAGAAACTTATCACAAATTGGATTTTTCTGAGCCTCATGATTAATGCATAAATTTTATATAGTATCTGTTTATTATAATAGAATGATATTTGCCTGAATTGCATTCCCTGCATGTGGGGTAACTAATTTACTATCAAGTACTTTGGTGTTAAGTTTTTCGGTAAAATAGGCTCAACAAATACCTATACTCTCTTAGTGCCTTCGAGGTACAGGTTTATGGCAGCTGATTATAGAATGTGCTTCTAAGATACCTGGATATCTATCTATTCGCTCAACCTAGGACTGTGGTGTGTCATTAAGTTCACCTCTGCCTACACTACCTTCATACGGACTAAGACGTAAGTTTCGCCATTATCTGTCGCAGCATCGTCTCGATAATTACAGCATTTTTTAATGAAATCAGAAGTAAATTAACAATTTTGAAGGGCATGAATACACTAGGAGTACCAATAATAAATGGAACATTTTGGTAACAACTTTAAAATGCTGTCTCTCTCTAACCATTGTATGAGATTATGTATGATATAATTTCAATTATCATTTTCATATCTTCCCCGTTGCTCCTCTGGGTTTTCGATTCCATTTTGAAAAAAATGAATGCCGTCTATTTAATTGAAATACTCGTTCAGGTGATTTTCGCCTGCAGTTGCCTACGGAAGTCGTTTTTCTCATTGTGTTTCCTCCACGTGACAAGCTCCAAGGTGATAGTGGGGTGAGGCAATGTCTGGCAAATGTGGAGGATGTAGTGGAAATTCTCCATTTAATGGACGAACTTTAGGGGGATCATTTTTTGTTTTATTGAGTGGGTGTGGGTCATTGGAGTGCTAAAGAACTCCCTCTTTTTTCTGCCCAATATACCTGGAAGTTTATCGTGCCTCCTCAAGTTTGGGTCTTTCCAGTTGTTGACCAAGAGTGAAGTTCGCCTGTAACTGTTTCAGGCGTTTAAGCACTTCGTAATGGATTAATGCGCGTCCATCCCACTAATTGCGTGGGTGTTTGGTTTTGAAACAAAACAGGTTCTTCGTCCCAACATTGTCATAAGTGATCCGTTCCACATTACCGTTAACAATTTGATGTAAAAATGACTAATTCTTTGTTGTCAAGAGAACAGAGAAATTCACTTGTTTCATATTGACGGAGTTGATGTGGTGCTACCAAGGTTCCCATCTGCTTTAAGTTATCAATGCGACTTAATTGTGCTTGCACAATGAACGATAAAGGTGAGTTTCTGTGATGTTTCTTCCAAAGTTTTCAAAGGGATTTTAGGACGTCATCAATACAATTTGTAGATCATGGAATTCCTATTGTCTAATTTAAACCTTTAAAACCAAAATTGACGTCGGCTCGGATGAAAGGAAAGCAACTTGCAGTAGTTGTCTTACGTTTTATCCATCAGCTTTACTACCTATAAATAATGTCCAACAATTCATCTACTTGGAAAAAAACTTACAGACCTGTTTTCTTCACCAGGTGCGAATGCAAAATGAACTCAAACGTCTCTTTGTAAAGTTAGCGATCTTCTATTGTTAATCCTGATATATGTATACAGTTCAATCTGTCGGGATTCTAGCCTTGAAAGGTAGATACTTGTGTGGAATGAAAAGGCGAGGATCAGAATCATCACGTTTTTGTTGTTTAAATTTGGGGCAGCGTGATGTTTTGTTGGTAATTAAGGCAACTAACAATTCAAATGACAATTCTACTCTGTAAACAGAAGAAGAATGCAATTGGTTGGAAATTACACAAAAATAGAAAATAGAAAGTCGAATTCCTACAGTCTGGTCATCAGTAGAACTTGATTTCTCAAATCCACAATGGAAATAAGCTTCTCATATTAAATCGTAGGTTTATGGTTCGCACTTAAATAAGGGGAATTTATACTCTGTTCAAGAGAATACGCTAATTTTAGAATTTAATAGTACCCAAAACTTGCATATTTATAGCCTATATATGTGAGGATCAGATACGCACTAATGGCAGGCTCTATGATAGATATAAATGGCCCTTTAGTTGGCTAAGGGCTTCACAGGGGAGGGGAGAGGAATATCAAAGTGAGAAAAATTCGAGAGGGGGACAGAAGAGGGATTCACAGATGTAAAAGAGACAGACAGACACAATGGTAGAGAAAAAGGTAAGGTGAGTACTGTGAAAGTTGTGTAATATGACATACAGTGGGGTGATGGTAGTTTGAAGTCAGAAGTCATCTGCCAGTAAATAGACTTTTTTGCCGTATGAGTATACGTTGCCCAGGGTGCCCCACGTGGAGGTAAGTCTATCGCAGTCCACCATATATTTTTTGCACGAATGTATGTCTGCATATTCGTCAACTCAGAATTTTACATGATTCTGAGATGAAAAATGCCATTCAACAGTAATTGTTCTTTCAAATAAGCCCTTCATTTCGATCTTTAGTTATTGAATTTCACAAACACATGCTTTGCACTACAGTTAATGAAGGCGGAAGATTATCAATCACCTTCGTTGTCGGTCAATATTAGTTGTCTACGCAATTTGGCAAGCACCAAAAGAGCATGTTACAAATATTGGTTATAGCGGAAGTTCATTTCCACTAAAAAACACTCTAAAGTTATCACAGAGTGTTTAAAGAAAGACTCAAAATTACAATGTGCCGTCTTTAGAAGGTAATTAAAGTCGTTTTGTTCCGAAATGCTTGTGATGTAGCAGACTACATCGGTCAAAGCTAAATGAACTATCACTATACCTCAGTGTCAACCATCAGTTTGTTTTTTTATGGCAGCATATACGTTTTAGCGACTAATTATCAACCAAGGTGTCCGAACCACACATGAGGCTGCGCTGAATTTTCAAGCTCTAAACTAAATCCGCACAATCTTGTAAGTGCATATGATCTGATACCATTGGTGAATTCAAAGATAATTCAACTGACAGTGTCTTATAATTCGCAGGAAATTTGATCAGTATTGCAATTTAAGCATAGATTAAAAGGATGCAATCACCTGTCCTACTTTCGAACGCATCATTCTTAGATAATTAGGTAAATATAAGCTTAAATGGCATAGCTTTCCGAGTAATTCAGAATTACTTTGATTGCAGAACAAATTGTTCATTGCCGGGCGTATAAATTATCCGCAATAGAGTATATATATTTATAGTACCTACTGTCTCATATACGTGCATTGAATACCCTTAGCTCATCAACAAAGAACGCCGAATCTGTCGCTCGTCTTTTCATACCCAAAGTTTGGAGTTCACACCCCAAGCCCCCTTCGTTCGGTGATGACAGTTCCGTTCCCGCATACTCCCTTTCCTTTTCTAATTCTCTTCAAACTGTCACCCACACACTGCCTAATTCAAATTTTTAATCTTGTTACTCGAGGAAGTCACTTATTTAAATAATTATTTTCGAGAGGAATAAATTGCTCGTACTATTGTATCAGCCTTA